ACCTGTTATCGAATACTTTACAGTTTGGAAAATCGCAATGGAATTTATTGATTGACATTTCCAATCACCGCCGAACCCAATTTTTGATGTTGACACGATAAAATATGCAACCAATAGTAAGACGATATTGCAGATAGACAGACCATGCGAAGAAGCCATTTTTGCTCTTCCTGTTCATTGTTAACGATGCGTGCTCAAGCGCATTCGAAGTAAAGGAGATTCGTGCAGCAGACTTCACAATTTTGTAGTTATTAAGCAAGCGTGTTACTGAACAAAACGCTAGGGATACATTCGAATTAGAAAATGGGGAAGTGCATTTATGGCCGAGTAATATTCACTTTTTCCCACAGGAAATCATCTTGGTAGAGAATGTATACAGAAGACTTTAGGCGTTTGTAGCTTGTATGTGGATGTGGATTAATATTCGAAATACATTCTTTAGTTTTGCATCACGAACAGTAGCAAATTGGCGGCAGAATTATGTCGTAAAACAATATGAATTTTAATTCCAAGATCAATAGGGATGAAAATATTGACATATTTTAAATTTGAAGTTGGTGCAATAAAGACCCGGGGCATAGAGAGATAGAGACGGCGAAACAGTTTTTTTTTACAGAAAACAAAAATCGAACTTAGGAAACGTTGGAAAGTTCACTGAACTTTTACAAACCTAGCAACACCTTAAAAAGATGAATTTTTGTGTAAGTCACCCGATCCCAGAAATTAAATGAAGGGGTAAAATAAGCATAAAGTTTACATGCATATTTTTATTACACTGCCGATTTTGCACAAACCAATTTATTTTATTTATTTTATTTATTTTATTTATTTTATTTATTTTATTTATTTTATTTATTTTATTTATTTATTTTATTTATTATTTTATTTTTATTTATTTTATTTATTTATTTATTTTATTTATTTTATTTATTTATTATTTTATTTATTTTTTTTATTTATTTTATTTATTTTATTTATTTTATTTATTTTATTTATTTTATTTATTTTATTTACTTTATTAAAAGTATAAAAAGTTACGTGCCGAACTAAACTAACTTATTCTACCCTAAGACAACAATGTTTGTCAAAATGAAAAACTTATCCGATTTTCCGATTACAGCCTCATTAACCTCAAAAGATTCTTGAATGCATTGTTTTTATCACTTACCACATTCTTTTTTTTCATTGTTTGCTTATCAACTGAAAATCAGTTAATCGACGATTTATTAAATGCTGAAATGCTTTCAACTGCATGCCAAATATTCATATTTTGTTACTTTCTCTTATTGTACTCATAGCATTATGACACTACTTGTATCAAAAATTAGAGCACTCGGCTCCGAAGGGGCCTCGTACTTATACAATATTTGCTCGCCAGTAATGTGCCATTTTCCTGTAAACAACTATTCTTAATTGATAGTTTATATAATCTAGCAGCTTGGCAGAGTAATCGATATTTCAAGTAACTTGACGTATGAATATTTGACTTTAGAATCAATTTTCACTTATAATTGCACAAGAGGTTTGTATTTTACCGAGTAAATTTGGGTTGTTTAGGTAATGAAAATCTGTTGCCTAGCAATTAGACGAGAACAACCGTCAACTAATAAAAATGCGACATCGCAGGTGGAGCATTTTTAGGTTGACAGTTTTTCGAGTCCAATTGCTAAAATGAAACAGATTTGAATTGGCACAACCCAAATTTACTCTGTTTAAATACAAACCTCGAGTGTAATTCGGCAGGACAATTTAACGAACAAGAACAGATTGTAGTTTGTACTACATATCTGAACTTCGCCCTTTTGGTATAACGTATAATAAAATGAGTTTAATATTCACTAGAATTATGTATTGTTTCTCTGTACGTTATCCAATAAATGACTATTATTATTATTATTATTATTATTATTATTATTAAATTCACCAAACTTGTCAATTATTGACAGACGTCAAACATATGGGAAAGGATGATGCGATAATTGGTTCGAAAATGAATAAGTGAAAAAACCACTAGTGCATTTGTCGCTGGAAAAGTTGCAGGTAACTTTTGCCGCTGTCAAAGTGACAATTTCACTGCGGCTTATGCGATTTTTTATACATGAGTTTAATTGTCACTACAATAATTTTGAGTTCAAGAAGTGAATCCCTGGGTACGCATTATATCCATTGGTGATATCAAAACTTTCAGTGCAAATATCTAAAGAATTCTAGAGTCCTGGAATTTTTTGCAATGCATAGCCTACACCTTCAAGATGTGCCAGGCAATCATCAAGTGGACCAATTTTGCTATCTCAAGAATTGTGCACAATCTATACTTGTTATCTGTTATGGTTGATAAAAAATTATACGAAACATTTTGGACCCTCGGTTTATTTGGGAAACAAATTTGTGTTGATTCACTCACCAGTCTACTTTTACTAAGCTCATGGCAAATGATTGCGACGAACTTTCGGTGGTCCACGTAAAACGGTGCCTTGGCATTAACATCAAATGGCATAATTAGTCGATTCAATAATACAGTTTAATTAGAAAAAAATTAGTTACAATTAGATGAAATTTCATTTACAACAGAGGGCGAAAGTAACGGAAATCTCGTGCGCCACCCAGTTTACCACCCTTGCTCCTGGTCAAGGTCACTTAAGAAAAACCAAAACTTTCACTGTGGAAACATACGAAAGATTCCCTCTAAACAACAGCCTCGCCTTTTATTAAATTCCGCAAATTAGGAAAAGGAACGCTGAAGTTCCCTAAAAGCACGGTGAACTCGTGTGAGCTCAAAATCAAAACTTCTTTAATGAATTGCTCGGTTCCCTGTCATCCTAAAAATGGAGAACATGGCTTTAACTTCTTAATAAATTAGCGTGCTGCCAATGACACTAAACACAACCTAATCAGATGCCATTTGCTGCAGTACATCTAATTAGCTACCGAGAATTATGCATACTTATTTGGCCGGGTTGAAATTCTAAAATTCGGTAGCCCAGTTAAAAGATCTGCGTAAGTTTAACCCTGGTTTGAAATTACCATTGCGAAACTAAAATCGGCTAAGAATTAGTAAACGGAACGGAAGTCACAAAATATTATATTTCTCTCGGCTTCCAAATGACCAGAGTTTTCAAAGGCTGCAACAATAATTTAAATAACCCCACGGGAACGGTTACGAAGCTGATAAATTGTTTTTGCACTATCGGCGGTTGGAAACGGTGTTACCAATTAAAACAATCAATTGTACACTTCATTGTTACCTAGAATAGTATAATAATTAATTATGTCTAGAGGTTACGGTTTTAGTAATAAAGCACCCGGTTGATTTCATCCATATACCGTGCGTTTATTAAAGCTGAGTTCATATACGAAAACGGGTGCTTCGTTATATAATGACTTTGCAATGACGATGATGAAGAAGGGGTTTCTTCCCTAACAAATTTGTATACCTTGGACAAAACATGCTAGAAATTTGTTTGGCGTCACTAATATGAAAGGTATTGTAACATAAATTTAATTACGTGACTTATTTATTTACAATTAATTAACAATACATTTACAACAGTCTTGACATGAATTGAGCCGGCCTGTGGGATTACATATAACAGCCAAAAATTCACGAAAGAGCGCTGCAGACATTGGTCGAACATTCCAGGATCTTTCTGGACGAGCAATTACCACAGTCCATCTTAAAGTTAAGTAGGATGAAGGTAAAACCTGTATAAAATGGGACGGACCGACAGGCCGTGATGCATTGGTTATGGTGAAGAAGAAAAAACACCACAACACATCATTTGCCAATGAGACGCATACACAAAGGCAAGGGAACACCTACTTGGAAATGAAAAAAATACACAAGAGGAAGTAACGAGGGTTCGCCCTATCAAAATCCTGCACTGTAAAAAACACTGGTATTCTTGAAGGGTAGACAATACCGGGGAGCACAATAGGCCAAAAGGTCGCAGTGCAGGAACCGACTGGGACCAACTGGGACCACTCCTAGTAATATAATAATAAGGTCTACTTCCAATCTGACATTTTTTTCACGATTTAAACCACAATTGTTTGCTAAAGGCGTTGACAACGAACAACGAAAGCTTTGTAGGTAATGGCTAACTCTTCATACATGAAGTGAAAACGTAGGTAGGTCAACACAACTTTTAATCTACACGTTGATCTATTGTTGAACAATATTTAGCACTTTTGCCACTAAATATACCATCTCAGAGTTTATAGCCAGGCCACCGGTGGCGTCGGCAGGTGTGCTCGTCTAGTAAGATATTATGGGCTACAACTTTTAGGTTTTTGATATTTAAATTACTGCAGAATTTTAGCGACAAATAATTACGTAAGTTCTACGTTTGCATATTCGTGGGAATACCTCATGGTTTCAAGTTTAAGTACCTATTCTAAGTGTATTTGCTTGTAACCATAAGGTCAGGGTTTATTTTACAATTTCAAAAGGAATTCAAAGCAAATTCCGAGACTACCTATCATTTAGTCCGCCACCACAATTACGACGATTGCTAAATTTTAATTGTATATTATTAATAGTTTCAAATTAGCGTGGATTTTTCTTTGAGACATTCTGAGGTCAAGTGCCTTACTGCGTCAGGTTACTATTCCATTTGGAAAATCGAAAGTAAATTAAGTCTTTGTAGCCACATGTATTCGTAGTACACTTTCTTAAAAAAAAGGTTTGTTACATTCCCGTTGATCGTGGGACGAAATTTCATTTCGTCTGGAATTTCATTTCGTCTGGAATAATAGGGAAATTCATCCCCGCATCTACGCACCGTACATTCAGTAGACCTCTGCTTCCATTAAGTAGCCGCCGCAACAATAGAATTTAAATTAATTCTTACTTTCAGTTGCCTTTCTTCAGAAGTTTTCGTGCACTTGAGCATTAAACATCATTTCGCTCTCATTTCGAGGCTAATTAAATCGCTTTGTTTAAAATTAAGCGCAGATACGTTGAAGTGTGCAATTCATAATTATTTTTTTTTCGATTACAGAAAAGAAGATTGGCGGCCGTTGGGGTTGTAAAAACACGCACGCATCAATTTTTAAATTTCGTGTTATACGAAAATGACCATTCCATGCCGGCTCCCCACACAAACTTTTCTCAAACTTTAATAATTGATTATACAATTATCAGAAGTTGTGCGAGTGCTTTAATAAAAACGTGCAGTTACTTAAAACTCGTGTAAAGTAAACGCTACCGTAACGTGTCGTGCGAGAATCTCGTAGCAATGGATACTAATTCAGTGTCACCGATGCCGGAATTGGCACCTATCGCCGAGTTCGACAAAACTCCACCTACACCACCGGAAGAAACGCTTCCTATAGATGACTTACCGCCACCACCGACCACTGTAACGGTTCACGAAGAAAAATTAAAGGAAGAGGAGTAAGTGACAACCTGTTTTTTGTCTGTTTCGAAAGTTGCATGCGCTAAGTCCTTCGTTACTGGCTAGAATTTCTCAGCCATGTCATTCACGGTGTAGAATTAATTACAAATCCCAATATAAATTGCACCTGGTACACCCCTGTGAAATTTTAATGAACTTTTAGTTTTAGAGAGTAAATCAGTTTGAGTATCAGCCTTTTAAAAGTTCTTCGAAAGTGGAGTGTCTTACAACCTTTAAAATGTACAAGGAGTACAACTACAAGAAACCTTTTATGTTTAATTGAACTCATTATAGTGTAACTCGTTCACATTATGTGGATTTTTCAAAATGATTCCATCACCAAAATAGGAAGTGGGTATTTATAATCCCGAATTACGTAGCGAACGTAAGTACTTGGCGACACAATCCTCGGCACTTGTTGCATTGGTTTGTGCCGTAAAAAGTTCGCCAGCAAACCAAACCGTTTTGAAATTACCACAATTTTTAAACGTCCTGGTAACTTCACACCCTTTTGTGCTAGCTTTTGTGAGCATAAATCATGGAACTAACTGCATTGGTTAGTGTTGCGTTTGTTCCGGTTACTAAAAAGTATTGCAAATACCATCGGGACACCCTGAATATCAGACATTTAGATAAATATTTTATATTGAAAAAACTACCCCTAATATCTAAGAAATAATACAGAAGTTTATTCAATAACATATCAATTTAATTTCATTCATTATTTGTCAAAGTTTAATTGTAATTGGCGGTTTATGTGAAAATGCAAAAAGAGATTATTTAATGGTGGAAGTGGTGGATCCTTTAAATACGGGAGATAACGTTTAAAGGTTTTTTTTTTAATTGGTGACGGTTTAAGTTCGTCATATTTGTTGCGCGGTGATTTTGGAGAGTCGGCCCGGATGAATATAGTAGACTTCTGTAGAGTAAATGCCTTTTCACAATGTCAGGTTTATGAAATTTGGTAAATTCCATTTTAACTACCTTACGTTTCAAAAGCTATAATACGACCTAAATTTGATTAACACCCTGGAATCTGTATTAATCTTAAACCTTCCAATTAACTATAACAATCCACCCACTAACTCATCTAACATTAGATAAGCTAGCTGTGTGGAAATTTTCCAAAACGTAAAATTCATGTAGAAAAGTAATCGAATTTATGCGAGCTACAAAATCTATCAAATCGACAAGCAAGTAGTACAAAACGATTACCCAACATCCTATGCTAATTACAGCAATTACAAAGTAGAAAATAAAGAATACATTTACCTATAGATTTGAAAATCAAACACACACTGCATACCACAATAATTATTCTCCTCCCTCAACAAACAAATCGCTACTGTGTCAAGCACGACGCGCATTCCCGTTCGAACTCTCGACCTTGTACAATTTGAATTGTTAAGATTCGCGGTAAAACATTTCCAAAGGCGTAACTTGCGTTTTTCTCCACAAATTAAATGCAAAAACTGGGAACGATTTAAATTTAAAATTACCAGATACTGTAACATCACAAAGTTTACATTTTCATGCTCAAAGATATTGGCTATGAGCAGTCTGTGCAGTCACTGCGCATGCCCACATAATTTTTACCATGTGCGAAATGTTTGCCTTTACTAGAAGCATCTGTGGTTAAAATTCCAAAGAAATATCTCCATGAATAAGAAATTTGGCATTGCGCAGTATGCCTACACATCACTGCGCATGCCCACACATAATTTTTACTATGTGCGAAATGTTTATCTTTACTAGAAGCGTCTGTGGTTAAAATTTCAAAGAAATATTTCTATAAATATGAAAGTTGGCATTGCGCAGTCTGCGCAAAATATGGAGTTAAATGAAACTGATCGAAATGGGCAAATATAGACCATAACAGCTATCAATTAGCGAAAACCCGAAGTTTCTAGGTGACCCAGGGGCCGAGATCTCGATGCAACGGACGACAGACGGAAACACGAGCACATAAGCTTTACCACAACTTCGTTGTGTTACGCTAAAAAACGAGGGCGAATCCAGACATTTTTCTCAGGGTGCATAACGAGAACTTGTTCTTTTGTGTGATAACAGTCAAGTGATTCCCGTTTGAAGAGTCATAGCATTGAAAATTAAAAATTGTGTTAATTAAACCAGTTTGTGTTATCATTGTTTCAATGGAGTATCAAGGTGGTGAAGTTTCCTAAAGCTTTTATATCAGTGCGAAGTGCGTCGGAATATCGTACGATCGTTGTTGCAACCAGATTAAGGGATTATTGTTTGAAAAACTGCAAGTAATTTGAAGATTTCTTTTGTTTATTTGTGTGGCCCACCTGCGTGTGGGGTAAATGTAACGGGAATGTGTCCCTGTTTATTTCAAGTTTTTATTGATTATTTATTGCTTTTGAGTTTAGAAATATATTCTTTTGTCATTTACACTACACGGACATTATTTATGAGTTGTTTTTCTCAATAAATGTGAATGTCGCAATTACTTTTATTTGTAGGAGTTTATGGGACGATTGGCTAGTACTGTTGGTGGAGGGGGTGGGGAATGGCCCACCCCGTCCCTTTGCGTCGGCGGTATCTATTAATATCAATTTTTTGATTGGCCACAATCAACCAATATACCAAATTTCTACCAGCATAAACAAGTGAAATACATTGAAATCAAAAAAAATAATGCATCACTGAAAATATAGCAAGTTAGAAAAATAGAAGAATACCATATACCATTCCTCTATCTAAGAAATGCTAAAAATAAAATAAAAGAACTTTCCTCAATACCAGATCTATTTTATTTCATTTTTTAACATCTATCTTGGCAAATACGTCAAGTTATTTATTCATGATAATAATTTTTAATTTCCATTCAAAGTACAAAAAAAGTAAGTAAGTAAAAAATTAAGAAGGTTATAAATGGATAACGATAATTAAAGTCGAAAGAAAACGATAGAGTAAAAAAGACATATACATAAGGAAATCAATTGTATCATTTAACAGAATGACACATTTTTCAGACTGCAATGAAAACTGTTTGATCACATTTCCATTTACTATAGTCGATAGATAAAGAAAAATTAATCAAAAGTATGTTAATGCCATTCAATAGCCAAGAAAGACAAAATAAATACCTAAAGTTTACTGATTCCTAATTTTAAACAACTTTTACACAGCTATAAAATAAAATTAAATATATATTTTACTTTTTTCTATGATCATACAAAAAACAGAAAAATTCAGTTTCTGAAAGATTTTCCAAAAAGGTCAAAAAGGATAATAAGATTCTTTTGCCTTTTACTTACCCAGGAATAGGAGCTGCGAGGGTTTTTCGTAAAAAAATGAACAACGTACTGAGTCTGAAATACCCCCCAGGCAAAAGAAACTTCGATAGCTCTTCCTCTAAATGACAAGTATCGAGGACTGTAAGTATTGAGGTGGGGATGATCAGCGGGGAGATATCAAAGTTTCTCTTCCTGGGGGGTCATCCATATCCCCCAGATCCCCCCGGTGGTACGCTCTCGTTTCAAAACGTATAGAACCATTAATATTTGTCGCGTTCACTTTCGGGGGAACATTCCATACCAAACCCCCCAGGAAAAGAGCTTCGATGGTTTTTCATAAAAAATTAACAAGACGTACTGAGTATTGTGATTATCTTGAGGGGAGGTCTCAAAAAAAAGAAAATTTTATAGCTCTCCAGAAATAATGTGATCACAAATAATGTAAATTTTGGGGAGGCAGGAGATGCATCACCTGGGGAGCCATCGAAACTCCTTTTGTACCATGTCTGCCTTTTTTTCACCGTGGCGCGATAATTGAAACAAAACACAAAGCTCAGTGTGGCAGAAACGTACGTCGTACAAGCATACAGACGGAAAATAATTTTATTTTTTAAAAGTTGCTAAAAATGATCTAAAACGTCGACATTTGATGACATTTTGACATGTCCAAAAAACGGTGTTCGTACTAGCACTAGCTACCTAGCTCAAGGTAAGAAGTTAAATATGTCCTTTCGGATTTGCATCCACACTGAAAAATAAGTGACCAAAGGGTCTTTTCTGTTACACATTTAATTAAATATATCCCAAATAAAATGGTTGCAGCCTCAATTGCACCTAAACAATCAAAATTATACAGGGGCAAAATTTAACTCTTATTGTAGTAGTGCTGAACTATAAGTCGTGTCTTTATGGTTGCACTAAATGCTTGACATGGTTTATTTACTCATGTCTCCCTCATTTGCGACAACTAAACATTGTTATGAAGCTTTCCTTCAATTTAGGAAATTTTCATCAACCCCTACAGACAAACACGCGCAACTAATGAGTATTTAACAATAAATCATCCATTAGATGTATTTGCTACTTACATACTACATCGGCAGTAAAATTAGTCCAATTATGCTATTTATAACAATATGCATTACTATGACTACCTCAATTCCAACAGCCCAATGCCTGTATTTTTAAATACTGTCGCGCATCAGTGCGCGTAACAAAGGTTTGACCCGGAAAAAAAGATGCAGAGGAAACTAGAACTCGACATACTTCGTGTGCCCAGCAGTAATGGTCGCAATTGGAATAATATCGATCGGATGTACGACAATATAAGGTAAGGTGCGAATGTACTGCATACTTTATAAGCACTTTTTATGTTTTCCAACGAGTCATTATCACCTGCCAATCACTCTTTTTGACGTTTTCGTTTTTTTCCATGTTAGGGCGTTAACAGATTATTTATTCCATTTTATACTACCTCCGTTTTAGCAAGAGCCTCGAGTTTGTAGGCATATATTATGTGTTTACATAGTATGACAGGAAAGTTTTTAATCGGCTTCGCATTTGCTTTATGTTCAATTTCAGTTTTCCGTTATACTTTTGATTAGAAAGATATTGGAACGTAAAATTTAATTACGTGATGTACTTATAATTAATATAAATGAATTTATAACAGGTAATTATTATTTATCATTCACTTGTACTCAAATTTCTAACATGTAGTACCTATAACGTATTGCTAA